TGGTTTTCTTCCCCAGCTCGGTCAGAAATAGAACACCTACTTTTCCCACATTTCATTCCTACCCCCGAAGCCTTTGTGATGAGTGCTGGTCGGATATGTGAGGTATCGAGGGGCCAGTCAGGGATGGTGGTGAGCCCCTTGGTGTACCAAGGAGTTTTTGATTAGGAAATAAAAACCCCAACTGTTAGATGTCTTGAGTTCAAATAAGGAAGTTCTTGCTACTGGAGAACTGAAAACACACTACAAACTCTTTCCCTTATGCTTCCAGGAACTTCGTGCTTTCTGGTTGCAACTCTTCTATTAAGAAAGCACTCCCTTTCAGATGCTTTTGGGTTGCAACCTCTAACAGTGAATTCTCTTTTGGTGTAGTTGATTTCAGGTAATTAGATAAAGCAAGATGAAAGTAGAAAAGCATAATGTATTTTGAACCTAGAAACTGATTAGTTTGAACAGAGCATTCTTCTTATTCAGTGGATGGCGGATCCTAGTTGGCACGTTTTAGAACCCAATGTCTCACAGTGATGGTTCCCTGCACCCTACCGGTGTTTAAAATGCTGGCACAAAAAGCCCTGGCTTGCCAAGTTCTTACCTCTAAGAGAGAATTTGGGCACTCTGAGATATTACTAAGAAACAACCAATCTAAGTCCCTGCTTGCTTGGATGTTATGAATTTCTGGGGACACTATCACCCTCTCTGGGATTGCCAGGCTGCATGGAAACACATCTTATGGCACAATATCCCACCATTCTGATTTTTTTCAGGAATACCAGACTTGGGAGAAATATATTTGAGAATATTTAATTATCAAATTGTCTTTTAACTAGCATATATCAAACATACCTTGGGCCCCCAATTGAAAAACACTTGTTTCAATACCCAGTATTTCCTTTTACCTTTGAAAAGGTTGACATAGTTACCTCGGGACCTTTCAGAAATGAATCAGCCAGCTGGTGTTATCAATGTCATTTGCTATCTCTTCCTTTTCTCCTTCCCATTATTTGGACATTTGACTGTTGACCCTGATCAAACCCAAACATCCACTTCTATTCTTATTAAAAGTTCTGGGACACATTGTAGAAGGAAAAAAGTTAGAAGCTAAAGCCATTGGTGCAAATGAAGCTTTGAATTACCTGTGGATTTTGATCATTTCTTCTGTTCCTTACCCCCCGAAAAGCACAGATAATTTGGTATCCAAATATATACATAGCCACAAATGACATAAAAACACGTCCACTTTTCAGGACACATTTCCAAGAGCAGCTCGCTGCCATTTCTGTCTCTGCTGGTGTGCTTCTCAGGGGCCCGCAGCCTCCTCAGCAGCTATTGTCCCTGTCAGTCGGGTTGGGGCATGAGGCAGTGACCACAGACACCTGGCAGAGTTACGCAGGTGCACACAGGAAATGGTAGAGAAAGAGCAAGAGCGAAACAGATTCTGGGTTGGGCCCAAATCACTCGTCATGTCACTTCATGAGTAAAAGCAAGTGCCTTAGAAGCTTACATTATTTACAGTGCTCAGATAGTTCAAATGTCCACCCAAAGCTGAGGACCACCACGCAACAGGGAACAGTTCAGTGAAATATGTACAGAATTTACAAGGAAGTTTACATGATATTCTACATTCCAATACCAAGTTTACCTTTGTGCCTACTTGTTTGCTTTCAGAAACTGAGATAGTTTTGTATATCTGTCCTCCTCATCCCAGTAACTGCTAATGGACCAACATGAACAAATGCTCGCTCGCACATACCCTTTTCTTCCTTCTGGGATATACGATCACACTTTGTTTAGGAAAAAAAATTGTGGCATATCATCCTTTGGTAAGATACTATTCAAAATTGTCTATATAAGAAATCTTGGAGATTATTCCCTTTTAGCATTATAAATATCTTTTTCTTTGTTTAACATGGCAAATTTTAACTGAGTTCCTTTTTTAAATAAATATTTATAAAGTAGTCATTGATTTTTAGGAGGAAAACCTATCATGGATCTGTAAACCAAGCTTTATTCTCTGCACCACATTTTTCTCTTGGCACTTTCAAGATCCTTCATTGATTGTAATACACAATAAGGATGGTATGTATGAAAACACAGAACGTTTAGTCAGCAGAATTACCAACCAGTCTGCTGTTTCTATTTGGCAATATAGAGGATGGAGGCAATAATCTTGGGTAATTCGAGCCAAAAAAATGTCTTTACCTGGATCTTTGCTTCACAAAGCTGATAAGTGTAATACACACATCACCCGATAGTTTAAGCCAAAGAACATGAGTGGGAGAAATGAGTGTGTAGTCACTACTGTCGAGTGAAAGATGGGGTTTATGCTGGATCTCACAGGTTAAGTTTATGACACAGTATAGGTCACAGTTTACGAACTGTGAACTTGGAGTCCCCTGGACGTGCCTACAGCGTAAGAGAGTCTGTGCAGTGTTCGGCCTCTGCTGCCACTTCGGTGATGAAGGAGATTATGGCTATTTTCATGGCAGGAAGAAAATAACCAAAGAGTTAAACAGTAAACCTCTACTGTGTCTTGATCTGAATCTTTCAGGAATAGGGGCTGGTTCAAGGGCGCTTAAGAATATCTAACAAGTTTTATGTTTTATGTACATCATTTTGGACAAAACAAGGGAGAGAGGCAGAGAGGAAGGGTTTTTTCTCATTCACTTTTCAGCCTGGAAGAAGAGTGGGTGGGGTCCAAGGTGGGGAGAATTTGCTTAGGAGGCATCTGGAAGAAAGAAGTGGGAGGGCATTCTCCAGAAATATGGAGGCTTCTCAGTTATTCTGGCTGCCATCACCTCTGAAAGCAGAGCTATTTAACAGGATGGCAGGGTGGCGGTCGTCACCCCTGTAGCATCCTGGAGGGCATACAGTGACACCATTTTGTGCCTGATGGAATACTCAGGCTTACAAATTTTGCATTTCACAAAGGTTAAGCTAGAAGAATTCCAAATGTTCTTTTTCTCCCTTAAAGATACATCTAAATTACAAGCATAAAATTCTTTAGACTTTTAAGGCAAGATAAAAATAATAAGAAAATTTGAATTACCTCAATCTTTTCCAAGAAGAATGATCTAAACAGATAAATAAAGAAAAGTTGTTTTGTTAAGGAACATAGTGTACAGATACTTTCTATCTGATGTAGCTTAAAAGCTTTTTAAAGTGTTTTGACATCATAATGATTCATTTCTGATAAGCATTAGCCAAAAGTCTCCCTTTCTGTGTTTAAAATACATGGCTACACAGTGGTCACTGGGAATACCAGTCACTGGTCTGCTTACTTGCCACCCTGTTGGAGCATTTTACAATGGCACAGTGTCTCACCCTGCCAAGGAACTACTCAGTTTCAAAGTGGATCACTTCATCTCCAGAAGCTAAAGATTTCCTCAACCAGGGAACTGTGACCATGCAATCAAAACCTGAATGAAAATTAGGTTTTTCTTATTTAATTATTTCTATTAATCTCTTACGAAATCATCGAGATAGTTTTCCCAGTTAAAGCAGAGTTTTTATATTTTTACTAATGTGTATTATCTGTTAGCCTTAACCATTCATTATATTCTGGGATAATCTTTTCCTCTTGCTTTCTAAAAGGGTATCATCACTTTCTCTCTACTTGGGCTCATTAGTAAGTATTCAGCCTTATCTTTCAGTTAAAGCTACAATTTCTAGTAGCTGATGTTATCGTAAACATGGACCCTGATCACAGCCTTAGGGAGAAAGCCAGAGCATCCCTATTATTACCTCAACCCTACTTCACATAGGGTTGAGGTAGGTCCCAATCACCTCCATAACTGGTTGGTCAACTTAGGGTTTCACTCAGCCTTGCAAATGAACACATAGAATTCTTTAACGCTCAAGCTAAAACAAACACACAAACAAAGCAATGAGGCTTTAATGACACAAAATGGGACGGATCTCATCTGCAGCTGGTTAGAATTGTGTTTTGGGCGACCGAGAGATGGCCCTTCTCTGACGACTATGACCAAAGTGATCTGTGGACAGAGATCAGGCAGCGCAATGATGATGGGGATTCATGAGTGCAGACAGGGTCTTTACTTCAGGGGCTGGTGTGAATGTTTAAAGGCCCAGTGAGCTTGTCATAGTGGCTGTTATCTGTGGTTTTGCTCTCTTCAGATTTCCTTTAAAATGAAGATCTGGCCTCAGAGAAGTGTGACACCGAAACCGGTGTACGTGCATTTCCTGAAACAACTGCTTCCTCTTTTGGAAGGCGGAGCTCAGAGAGTAGACCCATGAGGCCTGGCTGAGGCCCGACCAGCTGGCCTGTCACCACTAGACACTGCTCTCTGGAAGGCTAAGAAATATATACTATTTGATCGAAGATTTGGCAGTTCGGGTAACTGCCCAGGCACCCTTTGCACAGCACATAAGTCTTGCCTTCCTCATGGAAAGGGCAATTTTTCTCAAGCAAAAATTGCTCCCGATCCCCATCTTTGAAGCCCTCTTCTCCCAACCCCTTCCTCTGATGCTCTCGAGCAGGAACCAGGGAAACGTGAGGACATGGTTTCATGGCACAGCGTCAAGTGACTCCAGGCTGATGGATGAGATTGGGGCGGATCGTTTGAAATAGTTCAAAGGAAAAAAGTCATCAATCCCCATACTCTTATTCTCAAGAAGAAAAGAAAAATGTCCTCCATGGTTATCAGGTTGGATTCTAACATGAGTGAGCTTTAAATCAGCCTGGAATTCTGAGAAAGAAGTGTCCTTCCCAATACTCAGTTTAATGGAGAGGTGAAGCTGGCAGACCGGGTTGCATAAACTCCGCCAGCCCTTGCCAATCCCTCTTTCCTCTTCCACGGAGCTGAGACCCCTTCTGCTTGCGAGAACTGGGGGCACTTGGGAGTGGAGGGGAGTCTTCCTTCCTCTTCTAGGCTCCTTTTTGTTTTCTTTTCTTCCTGGAAATCTGTAACTTGTCAATGGCTTTTTTTTTTTCCCTCTGAGATCCTGGAAATTGAGTTGAGTTGTTTTTGGCAGTATGAGATTGTTACAGTTTACCAGGAAGCAGTGTGCACAGAGAGCTAAGTCCTCTTTTCATTCTTCATTAACAACGAAATGAATACAATCCGGGGCAACTAGGAAAGACTGCTCAAGAGCTACCTATCTAACTTCTGTGAATGTGTGTGTGTGTGTGTGTGTGTTTGTAAACATGGCAATTAACAGAGCTCTGAAAGAGCTGATAACCTGGACCACTGTAGACTGGGAAAAAAATAGTTTTTTTTTTTAAAGTAAACATGGTGCAGTACTAAAATTGATATGCAAGACCTAAAACAGATTAGATGGCTGAATCTCTTACCTCAAAAGCTGGGGACCTGTGGGGTTAAAAATCAAGAGAAGAACAGGAAAGTAGTCGTTTCTGAACCATTCGGACAGACCAGACCTTAATGTACATAGTAAAGCCAATAAACGACGTTGAAAAGAGAAAAAGTGATGGGGAAAAACATTCGGGACCACTTGTCTATGGAATTCACATCAGTCAAGTCGGGGATCTTGACCTTGAGCTGCGAGGCGCGCCGGCGGATGCGCCCCTTGTTGTGCGCGCCGTGCCGCTCCAGCGCGCGCCCGTAGGCCTCGCGGCTGCTCAAGGGCTTGCGGTACTGGATGCTGGCGCTGTCGTACGAGTACATGGTGGTCTTGGGGTCGCTCACTCCTGTGAGCACTTCCGAGCCGCTCGTCTCGTTCCTGATTTCCAGGGTGCTGAGGAGAATGTTGCCGTGGGCGTCGACCTGATAGGGAAAGGACAGGCTCAGGCACAGCTGGTTTTCCTTAACCTACATCTGATGACACCGCGCGGGGCTCATTCAACACTGTCAACTGGACATCTTAGCTCTGAGTGCCTCCTGGGTCTGGAGGTGGCCTATCATCTATCTATCATCTATCTATCTATCTATCTATCTATCATCTATCTATCTATCTATCTATCATCTATCTATCTATCATCATCATCTGTCATCCATTCATCTGTCATCTATCTAATCTACCATCCGTTTTCATCTATTTATTCATCCATCATTTGTCTCCATCCACAAAACACTTGTGTGTTTGTGCATTTATGTAGACTCTATATATTTGTGTTTATATATTATTTTTGTTAGTAACTAGCATTTATTGAATCTGTTTGTGTACACGACACATATATACAAATAACATGGTATTTTTCTTGTTACAATACTGGTACATGGAAACTTTTAAAACTAGAATCAGGAAAACAAAAAATAAAAAGTAAATATCCTTTCTCACCTCAGTGTCTATTATTTTTGACATCCTGCCAACCTCCCACTCTTTTTTTCTCTTCATGTATCTTTACAAACACAAGTTCTCTGGTGTGTTTGCTTTGCAATCTGCTTTTGTCAGTGAAGAGTAAAACCTGGTCATCTTTCCATGGCAATAAATATTTCTCTGTGACACCATTTATTTATAGCTGCTATGGGTAAACCATAACTGAACTAGTTTGTTGTTATACGTCTACTTGTTTTACTTTTGTAGTATTATGTAAACAAGCCAGCAAGGGGCACCTTTAAGCTGAATCTGTGCATATCCATAATTATTTGTTCAGGCTAAATTGTCAGAAGTGGGGTTGTTGGGTCAAAGGGATATGCCTGGCTATGCTTTGACTTTGGCTTCTACACCATTGTTCGCTGTTGCTTCCTGCCATTTCAGTCATTCCTGTTTGAGGTTTTCTGGTTCTTCTCCGTGCTGTGCTGCCACACCCACTTTTGGAACTGTAAGAAATGTGAACACCTCTGGCCTTCGTCTAACTCCAGGCTGATACACTGCACATTGATTTATCGGGAGGAGACCTAGTTCATTCATGCAAATGAGTCTGATGTACTTCCAAGGGTGACACAGGCAGCTGTGTCTGAATCTAGTGTCATTAGCACAGTATCTAATTTATAGTAAATGCTCCCTAAGGGCTTTTAAATAAGACTATTCTTGGTAAACACTTACTGAAAATCAAAATTATACAGGTGGGCAGGCAAAAACCAGGCTATGAAGAAGGAGAGAAAAGCATAGAAGGAGGGAAGGGCAGACAGGAGAGACAGAAAACACAGAAAACACAGGCACATCACAGATGGGAGCTAAGATTAATGGTGTCCACCACTGTGCCTCGCATTTGGCAGATGCTTTGTATATATTGCTTGTGTAATACTTACAACATCCAACTGCCTCAAGTTTATCCCCTGAGGAAGTGCCAGATGTAGGTTACAACCCATGCCTTGTCTGATTCAGAGCTCTTGTGCTTTTTATCGAGAAAGGGCTACTTCATAGTCTTTAGCCATCACTACATCTCACAGTGAATTTAGTGATGCAATCGATAGCTCTAAACTTGGAGGTAATTGGAAAGGACTGGTGACTGAATCTGTCCCCCCCATTTTATCTCTCGTCTCTCCCTCTGTGAAGCATTTTGCTCTGGTCTAACTACGCTACCCATTGTGCCTTCACTGGCACCTCTGGCTTCCTTGTTCAGCAAATTATGATTGACTTTTGTTGTTGTTCATAACTACTATTATTGACTTCCACTGTGTAATTTATCTTTGTTATTCTTATAACAGCATTATGCAACATATGATAGTCTCCTAGTTCAGCAGATGGGGGACGGAGGTTCAGAGTGCTGAGGCAAATTGCCTAAGGTTAAACAAAGAACAAGTGCCCAATTTGAGATCAAAACACAGCATAGTCTTTGTCTCAAATATAATTTCCCTCCTCTTTTCAAGTTAATCAATATGTTTTCTTTAAGGCTCAATTTAAATCCTACTTCCTCTGTGTAACTGAGTACCTTTCCTGATCAAGAATGAACTCGCTCTCAAAAAAAACCCCATATTGATTGGGTACTATTTTCCAGATACAGTGTCTGTGTCAAGGATGTGTCTCTGTGTGTGTGTGAGTATGTGAGTATATACTATATACACACATATACTAAGTCTATGGTTGAAAAGGTCATGTATATGAAAGTTCAGGCCACTAAAGAGGTGATAAATTTGAAGTGATAAGAGCAACGTGCAGACTTTGTTTAAAAAGGGACAACTATACTAGATGATAAGGTGGTGTACATGACTTTGCTAAGTGCTGTGGAGCTCCAGTCCACAGCAGAGTGGAGTGGAACTGTAGAGTTCCAGAGAATCATAAAACATGAATTTTTTCCTTCAGCTAATACTTCTTAGAGATACAAGAGTAAGGCGTAGTACTGGGAGTGAAGAGAATTTTTAACCAAATGATAAGTACTACAGTATTGACCATGAGTAGGGGTTCATGAAATGGATGCACCATCAGAGGTCAAGGAAGGCTGTGTGAGGAGGTGCAGCTTGTATTGGGTCTTAAAGGATGAGTAGAGGACAGAACGAGGAGTGGGCATTGAAAGCTGTTCCCTCATTCTGGTTTTATTATACACACAGCTTCCTCATCTATAAATTACCCAGTGAAAAAGGTTTTCACTAGGTAATCTTAAGAGTCTGTTTCCTATTTTTGATAGTCTGAGTATGAAGAATATTCTAGGCAGAAGAGGTAACATACTAAAAAATAACAGTAAAACTGAATCGCTTGATCTGTACTGTATGCATTATTAAATTACATTATTGTAAAATTTCTCTCAGTAAACAGGTCACTAAAATTTAGAATCAGCCAGAGAAGTATACAGATGCTCCTCATTAAACAGAAGTCATGGCAAACAAGGTACATTTTATTAAGATATTTTGGTCTGCCTTGGTGGAGACTCTGATGAACTTATAAATTGCATGTAGTTTATTAGTTTGTACAAATCCTCCAAATATTCTGTCACTGAGCTAGAAATCATAGCTCATAGTGGTGTGGCATGTGACATGATGAATCCATTTTTGCAACCACCCATTATGATATAGTTAAAACAACATTATTGTTAGGAAAGTAGAAGAAGGGTCATAAAACAATTCTTGGTCCCCTCCAGTATCTCTCCTACACTGTGTAGGTTTCATCCTAAAGGCGCTTGTTACAGACTCTGTGTGTGTGTGCGTTACACACTCTGTATGTGTGTGTGTGTGAGAGAGAGAGAGAGGGAGAGAGATGATGTGCTCGTAAATGACTGCCGAGGTGTGATTCTACCCTCCATTGTTCAAGCTCTTCACTGCTGGGGAAAGTGCATGTGTGGTAACCACACCACTGCTGACATCAGCAAGGTTTTGGTTGACTCTAACCTCTGCTCCTTGGAAAAGAGTGATTTTCAGTTTACCTCAAACTTTAAAAACATCCAAGGCACCCTAATATCTGTAGCTTTCCAAAAAATAATATCTACAGAGAAAGTGGCCCTTGCTCTTCCAGAAGCAGCAAGGAGCCACGCTGGGCATTGCTTCACCATCCGCAAAGGTCAAGTGCTGTCTAGTTAGTAAGAAAATGTCAACATCTGACTTGGACACAATCCAGACACTGAAGATTCTAAAACCTTGAGGCAGGAGGAAGTGAGGCAAGTGAAAATGCCCACATACTGTATTTCTAGGGCACATACAGGCTGATATATTTCCTGAAGCACGCTGATGTTGAAATAACTATTCCGTGAGAAAATCACTCTCTACTCCTCATGCTGCCACAAAGGAAGGCACTTTCCACTCTAATCCCCAGGAGAGAAACTGCTTCCAGCTTCCGCTGTCCTTGTCCTCTGTCACTGCTGCCCACTCTCCCAGCTGATGGGTACAAGCACACTGGGGTCTGTGTCTTCCGAGCTTTTCTGTCCCTGTGATCTGCTTACAGAGAAGGTGCCATCTATGTAAGGATGCTCACGTTGAACCTGCTGTGTCATTGGGGAAGGCCTGCAGTACTAGGTGGTTCCAGGGGCTGTGGAGGTGAGTCTGCCCAATATTGCAGGCAATGACTGTATTCTATTAACCTCACTCCTCACACCAACACCACTGATTCTTTTTCTTTTCCTCTTTTTTAGGTTAGAGAGTCACTGCACCTACATTTAGAGAAAATAGATACACTTTTCATGAACACTTTAAGAAGGTCAGTAAATAAGCCCTGTCTCAGATCGATGATCAAAATGCAAGCTCTAGATGACTAACAAATGGGGGCAGAGAATGAAGCTTAAGATCCATTGCCTCAAAAACTTGCTAATGCTTCACCCATACCCAGACCCTATTATACAGGCGTATATTCTGTGCTATAAGAGGTCATTTTAGGTGGATCATGGATAAATGTTTAAAATGTTATAGTTCACTCATTCATTCATTCATTTATTCAGTAACTGTTTATTGGGTATTTAATATGTGTTATCACTGTTCCAGGCACTGACGAAGAAATCAGCCTCTCTATATGCAGTAGGACATATCTCATATCTTGGAAATTCGAAGATCTTGACTAATCAACCCTTTCCAGCTGGTATCCTCCTGTACGAACCCCGTGACTTCCCCTCCACTTCTATTGGTTCTCAGTGTTTTGTTAGACAAATACTACGACCTCTTTCACACTCAGGTTTTTAGTTCTCTTTCCAACAGACTTTTATAATTTTGTTTACTCTGGCCATGAGTTCCACCTTCTCTTTGCCTGCTGAGCCTTTCTCTGATCTTTCCTCCTGAAGGTCATGATACCTTGAGGCTTGCTGACCACAGGCAAGTCTTGGAGGGGCTCACATATAAAGGAAAGTCTGTGATTTCAGCACATAGACCTGGATTGGGGGATCTTCTCCTTCCTTTCTACAGCGTGGTGCTCATCAGCCTCAACTCTGGCTCTTAAGTTCAGAGGACACATGGTCCTGGGAAGG